CCCCCCAGGGGGGATGGCCACACCGCAATCCCTTCTCCTCCATTCTCCTCTCGGGATCTTGGGCACGCACACACACACGCACCCGGCGTGAGTTTTAAGCCACCGGGTCCGAGACACGAACCGCGGTCGACTACGTGGGAGTCCAGCGACATAGCCATTAACTAACTGCTGGTTGCCGAAAGAAGCTAGTTTAAAAATCAACAGTTTCCTCATTGCTGCTCAGGATGCCTGCCTTGGTGATTCTTCCAGGTCACCTGCTACAAGTGGAAGATTTTTGCTTTTTCCCCAGTCCCCTCTCTCACCGGCCCTCAGTGCCTGCTAGTCATACCTGGTCTTGCAGAGACAGTGTGGAGAAAGCTGGCACACTCTTAGCCCACTTAATGCTCATAAAGAGAAGCCGGGCGGCTGATTCACACACCGACTCTGTGGCAACTTCATAGAGATACATTGGGGTCCCATTCACTTCATGTGGGTACTGGGAGAAGAAGAAAGAGAGACACCTGGAAGTGAGGAAACCACAGCTTTGCAGAAAGATCTGAACTCTTAATTTTCTAATTAAAACAGGGAAGGCATCTGAATGTTCTGTTTAAATGTGCAGTTGCAATAGGTGTGTCAAAAAAACAAAACCAAAAACAAACCTGTATCTATAGAGTTTGAGACTAAATACTCATTAGAGGTGCCCCTTTCCACTCTTTGGGGACCTCTCACTTCCAGAGGGTATCTGGCTTTTCTAACCCTGAAGCAAAATTTCCTTGGGCAAAGCCAAGTGCCAAGCCTGGCTTCTAGTTTAGACAAGAGCTGCTTGTATTTGTGTAAATAAAAATAGATGTGAAAAAAGTATAAATTAATAGGCATCCCAAACACAAATATGCATATGAGTATTTTTAGAAAGGATTAGTATATTATGGAAATATTTCAATTAGACATCTTAATCATTCACAGAGCATTCCCATTCATAACTGACAACATATTCATAACACTACTTTCCCGAGCTTATTATACACATCAAGGGTAGGAAAGCAATATTAAATATTGTGTGTGTGCATATGCCCAGGTGTCTGGCTTCCCTAGAGTGTAGGGCTGCAGCTGGCCCTCCTTAGGGGAGATCCTGGGTCCTTCTCCGCCTGCAGTGGTGCCTTGGGGAGGTATCAGCTAGAGGCTTGGAGTACCTAAGGTGGCAGCCTTTCCAGATGGTTCAGGCTGTGGCCCTGCTAGTAGGGAGTCAGTCCTGGTGTAAATTCATGTGTCTCAGAAGTGAGTGAAGTCAGATTCTTCAAACTGTCCTGATGGCCCAAGCTCCACATTTGTCTCTTGCATTAGGGACCCATCACTTTGCCCAAGAGAGATTCCTGATTTACAGCTCATGGATCCTTGCTCCTGCTGTAGACAACTCCTTTCTTCTAAGGACAAACGTCTGTTCACCCTGCCTCCAGGAACACCTATGCCTGCTTTCTGGGTTTAGATAGGGCTTCACGCTCCACTCCACCCGTGGCCAGTACATGTTTCCTAAAAGGCACAGATGCCTGGGTTCCTCTTCAAACTTGCTGAACGGGCATTTCTGGGCGGTGGGCTCCGGAGTCCAGACTCTTAGCCAGTGAGAGGGTCGCTCTACTGTACACTTGGCTCAACCTGGGACAGCCTAGAGCCCCTTGCAGAGACCACGGAGCATTCGGGAGGATTGGAAGCCTCTCCTTTTCCGCCTATCTACATTACAGCTCAGCAGAACTCCGTGCATCCCTCTCCTCCTTCCACTCGGCACGAGTCTCTGTGGGCCCAGCAAGGTTACTGACCTTGGGCGTGGGCTGAGCCAGGCTCACGAGGGTCTGCCGCTCCGGGGTGGTGGACACCGCGGCTAGCTCCAGGCTGTGCGGCTCCAGCTGTGTGACCGCGGTGAAGAAGGCCGGGGCCGGCAGCGCGGCGGAGGGGAAGTGCGCGGCCGCACCGTTCTCCTCCTTGTGTCCACGGAAGTAGAGGGCCACCTGCTTGCGGATGGTGGACGTCCGAGGCCCTCTCTCGTGCTGCACGGCTGCAGAAACACACCAAGCCGAGAAAGAAATGCTGTGACACTTAGCTGCTGCCCTGTTCCCTGGCGCCAATGCCAGGTCTGGGCAGGGAAGGTCACCCACGAGTTGAAGAGAGCGAGGAAGAGGGATTGTGTGTGCATCTACATCCGCATTGTTTGGGTTAGGAAGCTGAGAGAGAGAAAGCGCGCCCCTGGACCAAAGTGACAGGAAGGCCCAGTCTCAAGCAAGACTAGGTGTGTTTGTTCAGTGCTCTTCTTGGACTGGGGGTAGTGGGGGTTGTCCTCAGGGAAACCCAAGACCCTACCCTTTGGGCCAGAGTAGCTAGGGATTCTCTCCCGCCATGGAGGGGGAGGAAGATCAGTGCTCACAGCCAGGCTCACCCACTCTGCAAAGGCTTTTCCAGCTCTGCGGGAAACTACTCCCCAACTCCCACTCCGCGCCCCCACAGAAAGAGCTTTTGGCCTCTGAGGGCCCCAGGAGAAAGGACTAGATCCCAAAGCCTACTGGAAAAACCCGTCTCTGAATGTGCTGGAGGAAGGCAGGGGAGATGTGACAATTACCACCAACAGTTTAAACAAACAAATTAATTCGGGGCAATCTTCCGCCCTCCGAGCTTGACAACTTGTCAATACACAAGTTCAACAGGTTGGACGCTCCCTCCTGCTTCCTGCGGCGGAGGAAGGAGCTCTCCGGGAAAGCGCTGTGTCTCAGAGAGCTGTCACCGGCTTGGTGGCCGCCACCGCAAAACCCATTCGCACCCTGTCTGCAGGCCCCACTGAGGGCTCCCGCTCTTTACCCCCACCCCCCGCCTGGGCCTGGGGCGCCCTCTCCAGGTCACGATGGGGGAGGCAGCTTGGGCTGCGCTCTAGGCCCGGAAAGCACCCTGCCTGACGTTCTAGTTCATTCTTTGTGCGTTTTATAGCATTCAGGGAGCTTGGTGTCTGAGGCACCTACAGGAGTCCCCCTGCTTCTCAAGTCCCAGTTTTTTTTTTCTTTCTTTCTTTCTTTCTTTCTTTCTTTCTTTCTTTCTTTCTTTCTTTCTTTCTTTCTTTCTTTCTTTCTTTCTCTCTCTCTCTCTCTCTCTCTCTCCTTCTCTTCTTGTTCTCTCTCTCTCTTTCTTTCTTTCTTTCTTTCTTTTTTTGTAGGTCTGAAAGAAGTTCTGGAAAGTCCCGATCCGTATGGCCCTACTGATTTAGGCATTTTGGTAAATTTGCAGACAAGGGCTCTTAATGCCGCCTTTTCGTATGTCTGACTTCTTTCTCCAACACCCCACGATTTCCCAACCCCATGATCTCCTTCCCGAGAGATTATGCAGACCGTGAGATCCTGGAGGAGGCTAGCAGGTTTAGGGGTGGCCACAAAGGGCTGCAAAAAAAGGCAAGGAGAGGGATTAAGACGCGAGGCAGAGAAATACCGCCCGGGTCCCCAGCGGAGTGGAGGTCCCTAGAGCGTTGCCTTCGTGGGGGTGATTATAGGGTGCAAGTTTCCGATGTGGACATGGGCTTTGTCCCAGAGAGTTCAACAGGGTCCGCAGGGAGCACATGCAGAGAAACAGAGACAGGAAGGATATGACTGAAAGGCCGAGGCCAATTCCCAGCATCTGGAAAGAAGCGCTCGACAGATGATTTGCATGCAGAGGAGTGCCCTGTATTTTCTGTACATATAATCTTACTACTCATCAACATTAGAAGAATAAAGGGTTGTACTGATTACCATCTTTGTTCATGTTGACTTCCAAACACTTCTTCAGCCGACACGCCCTGCACTGGTTTCTGTGCGTCTTGTCCACCGGGCAGCCTCCCTGAAACAGAGCGCAGGCGGTCAGCGACCCGCAGGGCCTTGAAGACGCGGAGACAGGCGGGGAGGCGGGGACCCCGCCCAGCC